ATATATTTATGTATTCATGTAAACAAAGAGGAAGTACATACAAATTAGAAAATTGAGCTTTATACTTCTTAAGCATTAGTATATATCCAACGTCCGCTTAATTAATATGGTAATAATGTCAAAAATTAAACTCGATTCCTATTTAAACTTTATCTGTCTTTCTGCTTTAATTGAATAACTTCATATGATTGCTCTTTATAAGTTGGTTGTTCTTTTTTTTGTTCTTTCTTGTTAAAAGTTAGGTAAAATCTATAAATCTTCCACCGCTTCCCCCTTTCGGTTGTTTTGTTTTTGGAATAGCCACCAAATATAATATTACCTATTCTTTTATAATTTCTACGATGCACAATTATGATCTAAATATATTAATATCTACAAAAAATGTCTATAATGCTTTTCATCAAATTTGTAGTAGTGTAATTTATCCTTTTGAATGCATTATCGCCACATCTAGTTGTCCATCGCATAGGATAGAAAATTACAGAATAGTTAGATAATCCCCGGATAAGCAAATAACCCATAAATCGAAACAGAAATATATTGTAGCTAAAAAAATTTCCCTGTGCACAAATGTATCCTACTTGTTAAGACAGTCAATCTTATGAGATGCATTTTATTTTTATAATATAAATAAATACATGCTGCTGTGACATTCGGCCTATAATTTCCAATGGTGCATATTCATCCTATACAATATATGCAAAAATCGGTGCCATTCATTACATTTAAGTTTCTTTGACTATTCTGTTATCTTCCTATGCTACAATTGGTTTTATAACATAGTCTTAATTTATTTTATACGTCGGAGAAAGGATTAGCGAACAGTTGAAATGAGCTGTTCATAGGTAAGTGCATAGTTAATCTTTATTTTCATTTGTTTATCCAGTTAAGCTGTCTTATAAAGAATACGAAATATCAGATTCGTAATTCGCATTCTATTACAGGTGCTAGTGGAATTGTGATATTATTCGTTTTATGTTTCTTTTTATAGTGTTGAAAAATTGCGCCTGTTTATTCCTATTCACAAAGTGGAGTAGCATATATTAAATTCCTATGAAGCAGTTACAAATGCATAATCTGAGGAATAAAGCCATATCTAAGATAAATTATCCCCATGCATGTGCCTACGTGAATATATATTTATGGCTTAAATTATTTGACACAATATGTTTTATAATCGAGGTAATAAGAAAAACAGTTTTAATTGTGCGCTTTATATTAAACCGTATGAATTCCCGTCTTAAATTTCTTGAGACCGTTTTCCTATGTGAAACTATTTTCACCTTTCTTTTTTTTCCTATATTTTCTTTTTACAATCACATTATTTGATGCATTAATCTATATATCTCTATTATTTTATATAAATATTACTCATTTCTAGTTTCATGACCTCCCTGGCTTCTCTCTCAATGATGGATCAACCAATAGGCGACAGAAAAAATTTTTATTCTATTCTCAGTATATAATGGCGCAGCCTCTTATACGAAAAAGAAGAAAGCCGAAATTAGAAGTATTA